AAACACAAATAAGTACCAAATAAGTGGTACTAATAGTAAGCAACTATAGGATAAAACAAAAAAGTATTAAATTTGGAGTCAGCAAACATGGGTTCAAAATCCAGTTTCAACACTTACCATCTACGTGACCTTAAGCAAGTTGTTTAACATCTTTAAACTTCAGCTACCTTGCCCATAACACAGTTGCAGAATACCTAACTGAGGAATCAAGTGAGATAGAATATGTAAATTCACTTTGGAAATGCTAACACTGCATATAAGAAGAGTGTGACCAACCATTCATAGGAGAGACTCCTTTGACAGGATCCTTGATCTCTTCTCTCTTCTCAAATGGAAAAGGCAGCTCTTCTTCAGTGCATTGACTCCCAATAAGGCAGGCCTTACAGGATTAACCACATTTCTACATACCTAATTATCATCACCCTCAAAACTCAATATTTTATGCTGGTGCCGCACCAGAAAAAGAAGAGTTCTTGCTTCTTTTTTATATTTGCTGCCTTGCATGGAAGAGAACCAGCATACTTTAATTCTGAATCATAAAGAAGTTGTGGTAAAAGTAGAATGAGAAATTCTGTGCAAGAAAATGTCATGTGAGTTACTTGAAGGCTCCATGCACTCTTGTCGGAACACTCAAGCATTAAATATGTTAAGGTTAAGGCTGGCATGGCCAAGAGTGATTTGAACATGGAGGTCACCACATAGTGAATGTTCTTATTAAAGATCGATGAAATACATCATCATGTGCTATCAGCAAATAGAGAACTGTCTGTCAATAATGAAATATTATCTTAGGAGTCAGCATCAGGAGAGAAAATTGACCTCGATCAACTGTTAATTATCGTTTCACCTTCCAATCAGTAACTATCAGATCACATTCCTAAATCTTAAGTAAGTGTGTGGTATTTGCAGAATTTGTGGCAGCAAATGGAGTCCAGGTGGAGCTGCATAGGAAAAACAAGAAAAATGGCTCCTCACCAGAAACAAGAGAGGAGCATGGGAGGACAGATTCAGACACCCCAGGCTCCCAAACCCCCTGTTGTGAAGTAGATTGTGTGTGTATGTGTGTGCGCACACCACATAAGCACACGTTATTTATTTTTAAACAGTCTCACTTTATACTGAACTGACAATGCTCTTTATTTTCATTATGTGTTAAAGAAAAGAATTAAGGGGTGGAAAGAAAAGAATTGTGAGAGACATTGCTTTGATTCATTCAAAGCTAGGCTCCAGGGTTGGCTTTGTATTTATTTAATATATCAAAAAGCAACAAAACATCACAGCCAAAGAAATAGACACTCAAAACTTAAATTGAAAACGTAATTCTGAAGCATCATGGAATGACAAATATAGCATTTAAAATACATTATCTTCTTTCCGTTCCTTACAAATTCAAAGGTGGCAATGCATATTAAAAAAGATCTGCTTGAGCTACTAGTGAAGTTCCACAGTGAAAGCATGCAGGGGCACTCCCAGCTTCAGGAAAAGTAAGTTGCTTGTCCAGTCCCTGAGTGGTCAGCACCTGCTTTACAAATCTCTTAAACATCTGGCTCCAAGCTCTTCACATAGGAGTCCACACAGGCGGAGACATATTTCTTTTTCTTCTTAATCACGCACCTTTTAAGATTCATAATTTGGGATGAGCAAAAGCCTCGGCAGGAGGTGGGGATGAATTAAAAACCATAAAATTGATGCTATCACTCTGATTGACATACCAGTAGTGCAGCATACATTTCCTGTTTGTCAGGAATGAAAGGTGTTCACATTCTGTAATAATACCTAATAATGTTTTGGAAAGACAAACTGCTGTCTTACACATTTTACCAGGATGGAATTTTTTCCTCTTTCTGTCAGCACTGAAGTCAGAAGCTAGAGTGTACATTACAACCCTATATAAAGGATGACCTAGATATTTAATAGCTGCAACTATTCTGGTCCATTACCTGGACCTCCCCAGGTCTCCGATGCTATATTCTAGCATGCCTGAAATCACCATTACACGTTAAGACTAATTCAGGGAAGCATCCAGGGAGCTAGATGTCCAGGAATGCCATAATAAACTTCAGAGAATGAGTATTCTTTTCTCCCTATAGCTGTCTCATCACAGAATTGGCCAACCCTCTACCTCTTAGAGGTCTGCCCGACAATTAACATTTTGTGCAGGGTAGTAAAGACAATCTTGCACAAATGGATCAGGAGACCTGACTTCCTCTAGCTGCCATGTCACTGACCATCTAAGCAAGTCAGTCATTTAAATTTCTACACCTCAATGTCCTCACATTTAAAATAGATTCTTCTATTTGCCTTGACTTCTTGAGGGGTTGTTGAAAAATAAAAGCAAAATTACAGCTTTATAACTTGCATGCATCCTCTGTCATGTATATCACAAATATGATTATATATTTGTTAAATAAAGAATTTGGAGAATATTTAAAATAATCTATTCTGGGGCAATAATATGGCAAAAGGATGAGGAAGAATCAATGAGGTACTAGATTTTATATGACAGGGTAACATCCAAAAAAAATCAAATGTAGTTATAGCCATTCAAGAATTATTCTTATGGTAAAGTTTTAGCCAAAGATGTATACCTCAACTTACTGCCCTGTTATTACTGTTTACATCCCTATGGAGTATCAACTGTAGATACTGACTACTAGCATTTCAAACATTAAAATACTATTTTGGGGAAAAAAAGAATAAAGAGAAAAGATTAAATAAATCTGAAAATTTTCAGAGGAAAATAGAATGGGTATGTTTGTACTAAATGTTTTAATGACACATTTTTACATTTTCATCTCTTGGATCCTGTTATTTCCACAGAAGATTTCAAGAAAATAAATGCAAGATTAGTGCTACAATCATTGCCTAACAATACCAAGTTTCAAGTGTCAGGCACTGCAGCCTGAAAAACCCTTTGTCTCTGGAATTATAAACACAGACTTAGATGATTTGGGAAGCCTATGGAAAATTGACCCAAATGAAAAAGGGGAAATGTTTTGTAAACCCTGCTTTTGTAATAATACTATTGCAAAGGGATCAAAGTGCTTTTGAATACAATTTATTACTGTTGTTTTTACTAAATCAAATAAAGGTTTTAAGCAAAAACAGGTTTCAAGCCTTCTGCTTATGATTGCACTTCGTGAGACTTGACAATGCTTATCTCTGTGTAATTTTTAAAATCTATGTTTGGTAAAAAGAAAAGGCATTTCTCCCAATTCTTCAAAGTTACTTCTAATAAAATCTGCTCATTGATGCCCATGCTTACAGATACAGTGAAAGGGAAGTTCAGGAAAGTCACTCCGCTACACCCAATTGGTCCCTACTAAAACTTGCAGAAGTTATAAGGAAACTTACTTAGGATTTGAGGTCATTTAAATCGTGGCCTGACTTAATTTTATATTCACTAAAAGTGAAGCTAAAAACAGAATGCATGGATCATGTCCTCATAACCTTCAAGTGGCAACCCATAGACTGCTGTCTGTTTCTTGAGTTAGATCGACAAGAACTGGAAAGAAAGCATTAGCAAAAGGGATCTTGAATGCTATCAGCTGAAATCTACCTAAATCCCCCAGCAAAATATAATTGGAAAAAAATAAGAGATTCACCTCTTAGTTCGAGTCATTGAGATCTTGAAGGTTAGGTTAAGCAATATCCATCCCTCTATTTGCTAAATTACCCAAATGTGGCTATAAAAAATAACATTAAGTATTCAGGCCAAAGGTATTTATCAGAAGGATATGATTTACATGGCTATGTACCTCATGGAAAGCCTCACAGAAAAATATAGGTACAAATATGCATAAATCATATTTATATACTTTCTATAAAATTAGACTGGCATTAATTAAATGGCAGAAAAGGCAATGAGAGCATTGTTTGGAGGGTAGCTTGTTCCAAGTTCTGATTATAACTTGCTTCCCAAAGAAGGAGCCGCCTACAGCTTAGAAGACAGATGAGAAGATCATCATCGCAGATTTGCTGTGAACAGCTCTGCTCAGCTCTGTCCCTGCCAGACTTGGGGCCACACACACCCTTCCAAGATGGCTAAAGAAGATTCTCAGAGAGATCACTCTCTTCTTGCTTCAGATTTGGCAAGGGCAGAGTGTGGTCTTAACTTTGGAAAACTTGAAATCTGTAGAGCTGGCAACTGCTCTCAATAGCAAAGTTGTCACCATCCTCATCATCACACCTACAATGTACTGAGCACTCTCTATGTGCTAGGCACAAAATGCTTTGCATTATCTCATCCTATCTTCACAATTATCCCATGAAGCAAATACTATAATTGCCCACATTTCAGGAAAGAAGAAACTGACACCAAAACTTGCCCGTTATTACAGAGATGGTGACAGTTGGCACCTGAATTCAAGACAACCACACTCTTCTAGAATCTTAACTTATAACCATCAGAGTAGCTTAATCAAACAGCCCATGGATTTGACTTTTTAAAACTCCACTTCCACTTATAAAGCTATTCCCATTTATTTGTTAATTATATAATACACGAACACATATATGTATCCCCCACAGAGTGCAAAGAACTGGGTTAAGCGCTGGGAAGTAAGCAATGAACAAGACATGTTCTCTATCCATGTGAAGCATACATTCTATCATATATCCCACATAACATAGCCTCATTTTTTTTTTCTCACTAATCCTGTTCTTTTCTGCTCCTATTACCTGATAGTTTCCAAGATGACTTTCAGTAGCTGGGCAAAATGTTGGCACTACCACAATTCTTATGAAGTTAGTAAATAACAACTTGGCCCCTCCCTAATTTTTGCCTCTCTTTTCAATTTCTCAGACTTCATGTCTGTTATCATTCAGATATCCCCTGTCTTCTGGTTGTCCATAGTAACCCACTACTATATCCCTCTTCCTCACCCATGCCAAGCCAGACCTGCCCTCAACTCTACTGTCTCATATATCTCTACTTTTGTCCTTCATACCTTCCACATCCAAACCTCAGGGTTAATCTTAGCTCCCATTCTTCTCCTTAGAGAGCAGCCCTGATATGTTGTGGGAAATGACCAAAGAAAAACTCTTACATGTTACACCAGGAAAGATCTGTTTCTGGTAAGTCACAAATTTTATTTTCTCAAATTTTCTTTGGTGGGTTTTCCCTTAGAATCATTCTCTCATGTGGTAGTCATATTCGGTAGAACTTATTACAGGTACATATGGACTAAATGTGTTCCTAGGGGCTGGTGAGCGATGTTAAACAGTGGGTAATATGCTTTGAATTCCAACCAACCAAACTACAAGTGACCTTCTGGCAAAGTCAACCTAAGTAACATATTCCTGTCTTCACTATTACTAAAAATAAACAGTGAAAAGGAGTAAAAAAATAAGTTAAAAATGTATTAGTCTTTAGCATAAGAGTAATAGGAATACATAGTAATAAATGCAATGTAGAAAAAGAGCTAATTTAAATTTAGGGATGGCAGTGGTGGAAGTTGCCCACATTTGACAACTTCTACATTTGACAAAAGACAAATGTTTCTAGCATGAAGGATTCTCAGGTCAACAGAGAAACCCTGAATGTAAAGGATATTCAAGAACCTCCCCAACATGACCCCAATTTTTCCATGAGCTTATAAGACTCATGAAGGTAAAGAACACATCTGATTTTGCTTAACATTATGCCAGCATCACTTAGTACATGGCCTGAGACCTAGTCAGCACTTAATAAATGATTACTGAATGAAGAAATGTCATCCTATACTTATCTCCAGCCACCCCTGCATCAGCAGAACCCTCTGTTGACCAGAAATCCCTACACAAGACTGGATTTTGACATGTATACTTTTCCCTCAGGGAGCAATCTCTGCCTATATATTACCTTTTTTTTTCCCTTCTAGAACTGTTGAAATGAGTCTTTAAGGCCAACTTCAAAAATTGTATCTGTTATGACTCCCCTGGAATGGGACCTGTGAGTGAGATGCTGGTGCTTGTGGCATCTCAGGGTAAGTAGGTGGATGTCTGTCTCTCCCTTGGGCTGACAGAGTCCTGGGCTTTGTTGAGGGATTGGGAAAGTGCTTCTTGCCTACTCTAGATCCAGGAGCTGAGCATGGACCAGCCCAGAGGTTCTGATCCCCTGGGGGTTACCTTTGCACCAAGGATAGGGACAGCAGCCAGCGGGAAGGGGAGATTGACTTCTGCACAGTGCCAGGACCCACCTTATTTTGCACTGGAGCCCTAAAAATTATGAAGCTGGTCTTGGACCTGAAGAAGAAACCATTGTATTGTCCCTTGAGAATACATTTCAATCCCTCCCTTAGTTGTAGAGGAACTCTCTAAAGGCTAAGGGTCCATCGCTCATCATCTCAGCCTCTGATTTTGCACAGCACTCTCTCTCAGGAGACATTGCATAAAAGTGTGTTGAACCAACTTGATGACTTGATAAAGAGAAGCATCGTTTTATTTTACACAAAAATGTAGATAATCCCATATTCAAATTTACCTGGATGGATCAGAAAATGGACTAAATAACACAAATTCTTGTTCGTTTTTCTCTGAGACTATCATTCATCTTATTCAAGAGGAAATTTTACAGATTGACCACACTGCTTATAAATGCTTTTCTTCATATTAATAGAAAAGCTTTGGAATCTAGGCTTGTAAGCTCATTCTGGAATATTGTCTTCTACAAAGAATTGAGTAGTGTTCAAATATAATTGCGATTAAATTATTCACTCATCATCTTCCAACTACTTACTATGTGCGAGGTATAATAGTGGGTACTGTTAAGAGCTGATCTCTCCATTTAGTCTTCAACTTGGCCCTGACCCAAATCACTGCAGACAGTTGCCCACCTGAAGGGGCAAATGGGAGCTGAAGTCCAGCCTTCACTCTGTTTGCCAAGCCATATACCCTAGCGTGAGATTGCCTGTGTCTACCCAGGGGAAGTGGTATTTTTTTTTTTTCTAATTGTAACAAAGTCTCTTATGGGCTAAAGACTGTCTTGGCCCTGCTTCTCCTTCCACACACACCTCCTAAACTGCACTTGGCCCATCTGTGATTTCTTTTCCCTTTCCAGAGTCATTGCTGTTCTGTTGAACATCCTTTCTGTTGCATGAAAATGCCAAAGTAGAGGAAAAAGAGCACACCATGTGATTTCCCCAGGGCCAACATTTCCCCAGGGATGGTTCTGACTGAGGGGACATAAAAACAAGCAGTTTAACACTAACAGATATCCTGTCCAAATTCTCTTTTTATAGCACAATGTAGCTGTATTAAATACATAACAAGTAAAGTGAGAATTGAATGTGAATTATGAAGCAGAATTATAGTCATGATATGTGAACTAAACATGAAAAGAATCAGAACCTCTTATTATATTTTATTGGCAATAGTTTTGCCAAATAGGTAGTTACTTTTGAAAGATGGCATCTCTTTGAAATTAACTCTCAACTTCTAGCAAACATTTAGATGTCTCGACACTCCTTAGTCAACTAAGAGTGATTATTTTTATTGCTACAAGCCATGTATGTTTGTTTTGAAGAACATGATATTAATCATGATTAAATTGTGTAGGCTGAAAAATACCTGTTACCTGCAAAAAAAAAAAAAAAAAAAAAAATGCAACACAGCTGTAAAAATGTTGGCCAACCTGTAAAAATTTGTGTGGATTTTCTAGCAAACTAGCAATGAAAATTCTGAAATTTATATCTAGTCTTATGAGAATCTTCAAAGGTTTCTCTCAAAGGGAAGAATAGGTCAATTAGTTTACTATTTCAAATAGATATTGCCTTATCGGTATACAAATCATACCGACATTGTCCATTTGAACTGTTTAATTGTGACAACTCTGAGGCATTACTGGGTAAAGCAAAACATTCTGCTCCTATTACCTCTCTGATCTGTCCTCAAATGGGATTATACCTATGTTTCTAAGGCAGAGAAAGCAACTTGGGGTGAATCCTACCAGCCTCTGCTATGGACTGAATTGTTCCCACCTCACCCCACATTCATATGTTGAAGCCCTAACTTGCCACGTGACTATATTTGGAGATAGAGCCTTTAAGGAGATGATTAAGATTGAATGAGGTCATACAGGTAGGTCTCTGATCCCATAGGACTGGTGCCCTTATGAGAAGACAATGAGACACCAGAGCCTTCTGTCTGCCATGTGAGAACACAGTGAGAAGGTGGCCATTTGCAAACCAGGAAAAGATCCCTCACCAGAACCTGACCAGGCTGGCACCCCGACCTCAGACTTCTATTCTCCAGAACTGTGAGAAAATAAATTTCCATCATTTAAACCACCCAGTCTACAGTATTTTGCTATGACAGCCAAAGAATACAGGCCCTCAAGCAAACTAACTAAAATAGTATCTATTATTAACATTTTGGTAAATATGTATAAAGAAGTAAGAAATGTTTTATAAGAATTTTTTAATTTTTATAATTTTATGACTGTGAATAAAAACATCTTTAAAAATTGACTCATTTTTATTGATCTGTAATAAACATTCTAAGAAAACTGGTGTTCATGCTATGCAACCCTAGCTTCAAAAGACTTACTCTTGCCTCCTGCCAATAAGATTATTGCTCTGAAATTTCTCCTAATAACAGAAAATCCCAGAATTACCACTCTTCAAGTTCCAACATAAATGCTGCTGCTTCTCTTAAATTTTTCACATTCTCTGCTCTAGTCTCCCTCTTCTGCACTACCACAGTACTTAATTTAAATATGTAATTTATCATATTTCACCTTGTAATTTCCTTGACTTTTGCATATGCCTGCTCCTCCACTAGGGGACATAGATCTTGAGAGCAAGGGTCATGCTATCCATTTTAGATTTCTCTAATGTCCACCGTGATGTTTTGTCAGTAGTGAGTATATATTGGTAGATGTGTGAAAGAATGAATTAATTATTGAATGAATGGACGGATAAATGAAGAAACTGACTATTTATTTATTTATTTATTTACCATTTTGTCTCATGTATCTTCATAGCATCTGTGAGAATTGCCTTTTCACCATCATGCCTCCCCTTGATGGCGCACTTATGAAAGAAAAAGTGTTAATAAAAAGAGAAATGGAGAAACCTTTAGTTGCAATGCCTCTGATTTTTTAGGCATAGTACTAGTATAAATTATTTAATTCTTACTACTTTGCATTTCACGTTCTCCATTTTACTGATAAGAAAACTGAGGCTCTGTGAGGTTAAAAATACATCCATATTCATGCAGTTGCAAAAAAGAAAAGCTACAATGAAAGCATGATGCTAAAATCCAAGCCATATCTTGTATTTCCTTCTCAATGACCTTCTCTTAACTTTTTTCCTCAGAGTTCTGAAGAAAGTGAAAAAGATGTGTAGATATTTTCTGAGGCCATTTAACATGGCCATCTTCCTGCATCGGACTTGGAGGGGGAGGCGTTCTCTATTTCTCAGTGATTTTCACTTCCTTGCCACTGCAAGACAATATCAATCTCGGTTTCCTCTGTAACGTCAGGAGAGGTACCCTTAGCTCCCCTAAATTATAGTAACAACTGAACCAAACCTTTGATGCCTCTGAAGGTCTGATATCTCAGAGGGCTCCAGGGGTGCAAAGGAGTCAACTTCCTCCCAATCTGATGTTGTTCCTGATGCCATTCCCTGAAGTATAAAATTTGAAGGCAGAACATAACTTGAGATTCAGGCAAATTTGAATTATGTTTCAGATCTGTCACTTATTAACTATGTATACTTTAATCTGTCTCAGTTTCCACATTAAATAATGGTCATGAATTCAGACATATCTGAATATATAGAAAAGGCTGGGAGGACAGATCCACTGAGGGTTAATTTACATTGGGGATGGAAAAGTCCCTTCGTGAGTATGGCAGAGACTGGCTAAATATTCACCAATCACATTTTTCTTCCTGAGCACTTAGGAAAACTACATTTCCCAGTCTCCTTTGCAGTTAAGCCTGGGGCCCTGTCATGGGAGTAATGTTCACCACATCCAGTCATGGCCACAAAATGTGTCATGTGATCTTCCTCATTCTTTGTTAGCCAGACAGCTAAATACAGATGATACAGCAGAAAACTCTGCAGAGGCCCTAGAAAATAATTTCACCACAAGATGGAAGAATTGGGATTCCAGAATCATGGAATGGAAAGCTGCCAGAAGAAAAACCTTTAGTGGGTGAAGTCACTAAGATTTTAAGGTTGTTTTGTTATAGCACCTGGCACTAATTACCCTAATACAATTTCTCAGGAGTCAGAGAATCTAAGTCTAGGGTAAAAATAATGGGTGGTCCAAAGAGAAAAACTATGATTTGTTCTTCCACAACTAATGAGCATTGCTCAGAGTATTGTCTGAGTATTGCTTTCTTTCCTTCCCCATCACCACTCTCCCACACTCGGCTGGTACTAATGCCACAACTAGCAGAGGCCAACCTATCGTAAAGACCCTTCTCATTAGAGACTCCACAGCATGCTGATAATACAAAGCAGTACTGCTTTGTGGTCTGCATAACAGAAGAGAAGATGGAGAATATTTCCCCACTTTAACAAGAAATTGTTGGAGAGTAGAACAGAGGAGCGGTAACATGTCAGAAGCAAAGAGTGTCACACTAGTTACCGAGGATGCAGGCAGCCCAGTCAGATGTGAGGAGACCAGAGCAAACTAAAATCTCTAGAGGGTTCAGCCTTCCCAGACACCCCCATAGTTAGTTGGGCAGAATTATGCTAGAAGAGGTCAGGTTTTAGTACCCATTTTCTTCCCTTCCACATTTCCCTTTTATGTTGAACTTCCCTCATTAAAAGCATCCTGACTTTTCAACTAAGGCTTTTGAGTAGCACAATGATATTGCACCTCCCTATAAAGGAGAATACTGGAATTACATGTTGAGTGAGGAACATGCTGAGAGTTGCTGTCCATCCTCCAGTGAACTGTGTGATAATCCTGTTAACCTTCCTATCAGGAGGTCATTAAACAATTTTGAAAGCTGTTTCCTCTCACATCATAACTGGATGCAAAATCTGATCTAGTATTTTTAATATAGGCCATTTGGCTGCACAGACTTCAATAACAGTCCTTCACCTGTTTTATATGATCTGTTCTTGTACTCCCGTCAGTTCAGTTACTGAGTGCCTTTGTAGCCTTTCTCTCAGTTTAGGTATTGTCCTGTGTTTTTTCTTTGTTCCCTACTTCAACATTTAATGCATTTTCTTTCAGTAGTATAGCATGCCTTCTCCAGTTCCTTTTGATGCCTTGTTCATCACTTGCGCCAACCCATTTTTCACTCATGTCACCATGTCTCCTTCTTGTGCATTGGTCTGTTCGAATTTGTTGTAATTGGTGTTTTGTTCTTATTGCTGCCTAGCTATTTCATGAAACTGCCTATTTCTGTTAAACCCAATTTATTTTTGCATTTCACTCCATCTTTTCTTGATTCCAAAGACATTTTACCACCCAGTTTTTTTCCTTTTTTCCTCCTTTCCCTCTTTCTTTCTTCCCTCTCTTCCTTCTTTCCTTTTTTCCTTTCCTTCCTTTCTTCCTTTTCTTTTTCTTAAATAAGTATGTTAACATCTATGTGATGTCAGAACTCCTGCCTGAATACATTTACAATAAACAAGTTTTCCATTTTTATCCTCTGATCATTTAGTTCTTTCATTCAGCTTGAAAACTCGATTTCCTTTCAGCTCCCTAGAAACATAATTTTTACCTCCAGGACAGAGAGAACTTACATTTTTAACCACACTTGAAAAATTGGGTAAAATTGAAATGTACTTCTGGTGGCTTAACTAACACAAAATGGATTCCTGATCTCTGGGGAAGACTCCATAATAAGACCCTATCATTGAATTAGCAATTCAAGCATTAAGAAAGTCAGTTTTCAGGAGTGTCAGGTTTGGGACTTGACATTTTTAAGAAATGTCTTTGCAAAACAGGGGACTAGTTATCATTGGATGAAGGACACTGATTTAATCTCCAGGGGTGGCTGAACCCGATGTCTGGGGTTCTTCCAAACATTTAAAGTCATTTTCCAAATGTTTTTGATGCAGCACAACCCAAAAAGGATTTTGGCAAGTGTGTTTTCCCTTCATTTTCAAACCCATGCGTATTTCAAGGGAAATGCAATCCATATGTCTTTGATTCATTTACACTTAAATCATCTAAATGCCATTGTGTAAGAGCTATTTGATGTACAAGAAGCCTGTGAGCCTGTTTTATAAGCCTTTTTAAGCCTTATTTCTTTGAATCAGAAAGTCATGTTTTGCCGGCCCTAAACAGAACTTGAACTGGGAAAGGCTCAAGTTCACTTCTAAACTGAAAACCCGCAAAGTTTTGCGTGGCTTCTGTACTTAGCAATATGTTTCCCCTTGCCTAAAGCTCACAAACACCCAGCATTTCTCTTCTCTGTCTCACATGTAGTGAGAACAGAGTAAATCAATTTTTGAATCACATTTTACTTGTAAAATTCACATTTTGAACCTCAGTTATCTCCCAGGCACTGCCAGAAGTTAAAATAGCAACACTTGAAAATTAGGCTTTTGCTCTAAAAGGGCAAAACAGTCTATAAAGTACATAAATTACTGCTTCTGTACATTTATTTGTTTGACAGGTTTAAGATATAAGTGTGGCTTACATATGGATTTTCAGGATGCCAGATTGGATGCTCCACGAGCTACAGTCACAAATGTAACCTCTTTTTTTAAGACTTATGTTTGGGAGAATAGAATTGGAACAATCTTGCTGTTCTGCACAAATCTAATTGCTGTGTCAAAACAGCAATGGAATATGATGAACATTTGCATTTTTCTCATTTACTGGCCTTTTCTTTGGCTTTAACCATACTTATGTTAGTGGTCAAGAAGAAAGTATCTTGGGCTATTTACTCTCTTGTTCCCTGAGACTTAAAAAAATGTTAATGAATTATGAACTAATACTTTTGAGAGGCAAAATGTGAACCTTTGATCAAGCATTTGGAGATACCCAAATGATTAACACTGATTTCTATGGACATAGAAACATGTCTCGAGAATGGATAAATCTTTTTCAAGCAAAAGCACTAATTATCTCCAAATGTGTGATTTCTTTGTTTTTATTTAGACACATCTTAGAAGTTGCATTTTAGTGAGAAGGAAGAAATGGTGATGGTGTGATTGTCTGCAGAGAAGCAGTATTTTAAATTTGCATTCAAAACTTAGGGGGTGGAGATGAAGTTAAAAAGAAACAAAGAAATCCAGGTGAATTTAATTATTCCTTATGTGCTCTCTGCAGTTCACATATATTATAGACTATCATATTTGTGTAATCAAAAAGACTATGAAATTCAAGTTTGGAAAAAAAAAAGGATTTAGGCACTAAATCTAGAAAACAGTTAATTATGCTGAGATAATTAGATAGCAGAAAGTGTTGGATTTGTTCTTTCCCATGGTTAGTTTTCATTAACTACCAAGTCTTCATGATTCTCTGCAGGCAGAAATTATTAGTATTCTATTCTTAGGAAGAATGGTGCATGACTGACAAAGAATTAAACTTTCAAAAAGTGTGACAGAATACTTTACATTGACCTATGCATATATTTTCTTTAAAAAATGATTTTTCTTGTATCAAAAATTTGATCTAACCTGTTTTAAATTTTAAATTAAATTATGAAAACACATCAGTTTAGGAAAGTTCACAACCATATTTTCTCAGTTTAATTTAAAATACAAAGCAAAGAGCTTGATTTATGATTTTGCTGCTGTTTTATCAAAGTGTACCAGAGGGTATTGATTAGGATCGTGCAATAACTTAATAACTCCGATTTTGGTTAAAAAGACTAGTGTTATATTATATAATTTTATGCCAGGATTTATGAGATTTAATTTAAATTCAGGTGGCCATTTAAAAACTTAAAGAAATGAAGCTGGGAAATACTACCTGACCCTGCACTGCTGCTCTCCATCTTGTTCCTTCTTGCCATAGCTTAATTCACCTCCACCTGGTAAACACAAAAGCTTTGTCTGCCCTCATCTGTCATCTCAAAATGGCTTGCTGACTATCTTGAGAATACATATGATTTAAAGCCTATTTGCCCCACCTTTTGGGTCAGATTGTCTTGC